CCAAGAAAACAAACAGATTCATCCTGGAGAGGGTTAAACCAGGCTATTCCTTGGAGGCAAGGATTCTAAGGCTTCGTCTGACATACTTTGGACATGCTTGGTAGGGTGGAGGGACAGCGCAGGAGGGAAAGACCCTCTATGAGGTGGACTGATTCAGTGACTGGGGTAATCGGATGGGTGTGTCAGAGGCCATGCGAATGGCACAGGATAGAGCAGGGTTTAGGGCTGTTGTACATAGGATCGCTATGAGTCGCAAACGACTCGATGGCACATAACAACAACAACAACAACATCCCTTTTGAATGTAGATTAGGCAGAAGATGTAATAATATCCTGTTTAGCAAAGACATGTGTTTCATGGAACATGTTGGAGAAATAAATAATGAAAATGAAGAAATAAAATAAAAGCAGCCATTAAGATTCTTGCAGTAGAGAGAAGAGTATCCCACCTGGGCAAGGAGGATATTTAGAACTTCTTCATTTTCACTCATTTCTTCTTTGGAAACATCTTCTTTTGAAAGACTGGCTATCTCTTGTGCAATCTTGGTTTCACACTCCTGTCAAACGAAAAAAGAACTGTTCACCTACATTAACACATCTTCAATACTTTTCTCAGGTTTGGGTTTTTTTTAAAAAAAAATAATAATTATAATTATTATTATTACTACTATTATTTTGTGAGTGTACCGTCAAATCAGATCTGACAGGTACAGGAGGAGACTGTCCCTCCTTCTCCAGCAGAGCATATGGTGGGTTCGAACAGCTCTCTTCTGGGATTGCAGTGCAGCTTTTTGCCACTAGGCCACCAGAGCTCACCTGGGTGTTTGTTTTTTTAAAAAAATTATAATCTATAGAATCCTAGAAGATTCCATCTCATTTCTCAGAACCATCTGGAGACATGCATATGTTAGCTAGAGCCGGGTTTTGACTGGACTATGAAAAATGATCACTTTTAAGTGCTTCACCGTTTAAAACCTTTCTGTGTAAAATGCATCCTGCTATTTGTTGTTGCTCAGTGGTGTGGGAATAGAAGTCAATTTTAAGAATATAGTTACATCAATTAGTTGTCAAATACAAACACAGTCAGGTGACCACAACCACTACTGTTGTAACAACATTTCTGTCACCACAGTAAATTCTCTCCATCACTTTGCCCTTTGGCAACCACTGACCAGCTTTCTACTGCTGTACTTTAAAAAAATTATTATTATTACTATTATTAATGTATGTGTGTACAGTCAAATCGGATCTGACTGGTACTGGAGGTGATTGTCCTTCCTTCTCCAACAAAGCATCTGGTGGATTTGAACTGCACACCTCTGGGATTGCTATTGTTCTTGCTTTTGAAAGCCATGGGTATTAGGTTTTGTAAACAAGAAAGTCACTGCAAAGGAGGGGAACCACAACCGGGAGGGAATAAGACAAGAGCTCAACATATAATGATCACAAACAGGTGTCAGGCAAGAGAGTATTTCTTTCGGTTATACATTAAGTTAAAAAGAATAGGGGCAAGATTTTTTTCCCCCTAGAGCGTCTTATTAAAAGAAGATGGAAAGAATATACTGACTCACTGTATCGAAAGGAATTGGCAGACACAGAAGAATTGCATCAAACAACATATGAGCAAGAGCCTATGGTGATGAAAGAAGAAGTTCAAGCTGCTTTGAAGGAAGTGGTAAAAACTAAGGCTCCAGGAATAGACGGTATACCAATTAACATGTTGCCCTGGATGTGCTCACCAAGTTGTGCCAAGAAATCTGGAGAACAACCACTTGGCCAACTGACTGTAAGAGATCTCTATTTGTTCCTATCCCAAAGAAAGGTGACCCAACAGAGTGTGGAAACTATAGAACAATCTCACTGATTTCACACGCAAGCAAGATTTTACTGAAGATTATCCCAAAAACGACTGGAACAGCACATCAGCAGAGAACTACCAGAAGTCCAGGATGGGTTTAGAAGGGGTCGTGGTACTAGGGATATTGTAGCTGATGGTAGATGGATATTGGCTGAAAGCAGGGAATACCAGAGGAATCTGTGTTTCATTGACTATGCAAAGGCATTTGACTGTGTAGATCATAACAAACTGTGGCTGACTCTGAGAAGAATGGGAATCCCAGAACACTTGATCGTGCTAATGCGAAACCTATACTTGGACCAGGAGGCAGTCGTCAGAACAGAGCAAGGGAACACTGCATGGTTCAAAATTGGGAAGGGCGTACGCCAGGGATGCATCCTATCTCCATACCTTTTCAACCTATATGCAGAACAGATTATCCAAGAGGCTGGGCTCTATGAGGAGTATTGTGGGGTCAAGATTGGTGGACAATTTATCAACAACCTGTGTTATGCAGATGACACAACCCTGCTTGCTGAAACTGAAGAGGACCTAAAGCACCTGCTGCAGAAGGTCAAAGACTGCAGCCTCCAATATGGATTGAGGCTCAATGTCAAGAAGAAAAAGATTCTCACCACTGGACCAATTGGCAGCATCAGGATGGATAGTGAAGAGATTGAGATTGTACACAGCTTTAGTTTGCTTGGCTCCACAGTCAACACTCTTGGCACCAGTAGCCAGGAAATTAAAAGGCGCATTGCCATGGGAAAGTCTGCTGTTAGGGACCTCTTCAAAGTGCTGAAGAGCAATGGTTTCTCTCTGGAGACTAAGGTGTGTTTGAAACAGGCCATGGTCTTCACAATCACTTGTTATGCATCAGAGAGTTGGGCAATGACCAAGGATAGAAGGAGAATTGATGCCTTTGAGCTGTGGTGCTGGAGAAGAGTACTGAGAATACCATGGATTGCTAGGAAAACAAATAGATTTGTCCTGGAAAGGGTTAAACCAGGTGGCTCCTTGGAGGCAACGATTCTGAGGCTCTGTCTAACATACTTTGGACATGTTGTGAGGAGAGACCGGTCCTTAGAGAAGGACATCATGCTTGGGAGGGTGGAGGGACGGCGCAGGAGGGGAAGGCCCTCTATGAGGTGGATTGATTCAGTGACTGGAATAATCGGGATGGTATGATTGGCACAGGACAGAGCAGAGTTTAGGGCTTTTGTACATAGGGTCGCTGTGAGTCGCAAGCAACTTGACAGCACATAACAACAACAGGATGTCTTATAATTTAATCATTAATTACACTCAAAATCTGGCTTCTATTATGTTGCTGTTATGCACTGTCAAGTTGCCTGCAACTCATAGCAACCCTATGTACAACAGCTCTGAACCCTGCTCTATCTTCTTGAGCCAACCTTATCGTCTCTGACACACCTATTCCTCAATAGCCCCGTCACTGAAGTTAACTCATCTCATTCAGGGTCTTCCTCTCTTACACTGTCCCTCCACCCTCCCAAGCACCATGCCCTTCTACAAGAACTGGTCCCTCCTTGCAACATGTCCAAAGAATGTCAGATGAAGCTTCAGAATCCTTGCCTCCAACAAGCAATGATTAAAAAAATTAATCTCATTTGTAATTTCTATCAGTAGTTTTGAGTCACACTGCATAATATGAATGTACCCAATTTGGTTGTGTGTGTGTTTTTTTTTCTCCACCCTTTTATTTTTTTAAAAAATAACTGTATAAAAGAGTACACACATTTTGAAGGTTTATCAGAAAAGCTGATTAACAAAAAAATTGTTCAGTCCCAGACTGAGGTCCTGGCCCAGCCAAGACTGGGTCCCTGCAGATGGGGGCTTGAGCCAGCTGCCCCTTTACATGGATGTGGTGTTGTCAAGACGTGTGGTACCCATACTGTCCTGTCCCAGGGGGGTGCGGCCTGAGAAGTCCCAGGAGGCCCCACGTCACAGTTCATATTCTATGGTCCCCTTCTTGGAATTCTTTAGGCTGGTTGAAAAGGGGGCCCTGCACCACCATTTGTGGGTTCTTTTGCAGGCTGTGCTTCCTGCCCAGGAGGCCCTCACACACTGGGGTCCTTGGATGAACTCCTGCACAGTCACAGCCCTCGGACTTCCAGAGGCTAGAACTACTCCTGCCGTTCAGTCTTCCTATTACCTCAACAACCTGCTCCCCCAAATCTCTCACTCCTCAGCTCTCTTACCCACCAAACTTCACTGCATGGTGTCAGCTGAGATACTTGCCCCTGAGCACCCCATTATCTCCCCTCAGATGAAGGGACTCGGCTCCAGACTTTGCTTAGCTCTGACCCTCTCCAACTTCTCCCTTTCACATGCTTGCCTGTTGCACTCCTATTCCTATGCCAAAGTCTCTGCTAAAACATACTTTCCTCCAGGAAACCCTCCCTGCTGCTCCCCCTGCCCTGGGATTCTCTCCTCTGGTCCCATGAGACCAAAGGTATTTGTGTCTGGCTCATGTGTCTGTCTTAAGGAACCCTTAGTCTGGAGGTTCTTGGGGACCCCAGTGCTGCTCCCAAGCTTCACACAGACATAATGCAACAGTTGCTTGGATCCTGCACTTGGCATTCCATGTCTCGGAAGGACGGTCAGTCCAGGTATGTCAGATGCCAGCTTGACCCTTCCTCTGGTGTGGTCTCAGAACAGCCAGTCTCTTCTTGGCCTGAGATTCCACTTCCCCAGCTTCAAAGCGGTCAAGCTGGTTTGTCCCTGCTCCAGCCGCTTCCCAAGTCTATAGTAGCAGAAGATGTGTGTCACTTACTTCATCTCTGATGGGGTCCACTCACTGCTCAGTAGGTCATGCAGAAGTGCCTTATTACCTCTGTGGCTGGGTAAGGGTCCTCCTCAGAGGAGGTGAGTGGTAGTGGAACTCCTGGATGTAGCTGAAGAAGGGGCTCTCAAAGTCCAGGTCCAGGTCTGGTAGCAGTGACAGGAGGTTCTACTCTTCACTGGCCCTCGCCTCCTCTACTACCACCTCCGAATACTCAGGAAGAGCTTCAGGTTGTTCTGGCAGCATGCCCAGCCCCAAGTCCAGCTAGCATGGCTACCCATGCTGGACCAGAGGCTGCCGAAAGCGTGCAGGCATATGGTACCGATGACCAGTGATAGCTCCAGAAGCAACCTGGAAGTGCCAGTGATATCCACGCAGACCTTGAGGGTGTAGTCTACGTGCAGGACGTGGCAGTGCAGGATGGAGGGACAGACGGGAGGGATCTGCACTGCCCGGCGCTGTCACAGCGTTCGCCATCGGGGCCCACAGGTTTGCCCTCCATGCTGGCCACTAGGTCCACTTCTGCTTGTGGGCACCTTGGACCATTAAAGTCAGCGTCTGGAACACAGCGGCCCGGGGCAGCACTGGGTGCCATTGTCGATCTCGGTGAAGATGGGGATTACTTCGCCTGGTGTGTAGCCTTTCTGGTCGATCTTAGCTGAGAGGGAGACGAGGCCGCGATTGCAGTACCAGGCCCAAACCATCTTTTCTCGAGGGCCTGCCTGGGGTGCCAGCAAGGCCGGAGTGTTAATATCCAAGGGCTCAATGACGGTGAACACTTTCTTCGCCCGATGAGCCGGTGCCCAGGGCCAATGTAAGGTGGCCTTGATGCTTGCTGCCATGTCTGCCCTCAAACGATGTCACCAAGGTCGGTGGCAGCTGGAAGCTGAACTGGAACTCATGGTGCCCAGGAGGTAGAGTCGTGGTCTCTCCTGTGTCTGGAAGCAGCAGCTGCCGCCGCCGCAGGTATGTTCTCGAGGCCGCGTAGTCGCTGGGCATGGTGTTGACGCCCCCAGAGCCAGTGTGCCATCGCCCGCCGCGTGCTGCCTCCTCGGGCGCCCACAACCTCAGAGGCGCCGCGGACTCCAGCAGCACCTGGCCCCACAGCTGCCTGCTGCCTCTGGACACACCCTCGGGGCCCCGGGACAGCTCAAGCGGGAAGCTGCTGAGACTTTCTCTGAATGTACCCAATTTGTATAGCCACTGACCAGCTAATAAACACTTGACTTCTTTCTAGTTTTTAATACTATAAATAGAAGTGTTATAGCCATTTCACATGTTTTCTATGTAAATATGCTATTTTTTTTTCTCGTCAAGAAATACCTATCATGGACACCCATGTTTATTGCAGCTTTGTTCACAATAGCAAGGAGCTGGAAATAACCTAAGTGCCCATCAACAAACGAATGGATAGAGAAGCTGTGGTAAATTCACACAAATGGAATACTATGCTGCATTGAAAAACAAGGAACTCAGGCAATATTATTCAAAATGGGTGACCCTGGAGGACATTATGTTGAGTGAAGTATCTCAGTCACAAAAGGACAAATACTGCATGGTGCCACTGCTGTAAAACAGGAATGACCTATGGGCTGGGGAGAGACTGAGAAAGAGGAGTTCAATAATGTATACTGCATTGAAATAGATGAGGGAGAAAACTGTTTGAATGGAAATCCAAAGTCTCTGTAAATTTTTACTGAAATTAATAATAATAAACTTAAATTTAAAAAATTTAAGTTAGAGTAATGAAGGCAATGGATTTATAACTGCTCATGCTAATAACACTATATCATGGCATGGAGGAGGAATAGTGGAACTGTATCCACATTTACAATATTCTTCTTACCAAAACCATTTATGGAAAATAGGAACTACATTGGACATGTATCTCTGGATTGGAAATGATCATATTGATAATATTTCTAGCCTTAAAAATATTATATTGTTCAAAATTATTTGTTATATATTTGTTTAAATTTTCCCCTCTTTTAACAACTAGGATCTAGAGGGAAGAAAAAAGACCAGAGAGTAGCTAAAATTATTGGGGCAGCTATTGCTGCCAGTTTAGGGCCTGTGTCAGGAAAAGGAAGTCCTACTCATAAACAATGCCACCCAAAGGTAATAAAGGAGATCAGAATTGCTTCCACTGTGGAAAGCTGGGCCACTACAGTAGACAGTGTCACAGACGAGAGCCATAGATAGGCAAGGGAGTAGAGAGGAAGCTCCCACTCACTTGCTTTAAGTGTGGATCTGAAGGACACTTGGCCAAGGGTGGCCCACATCAGGTCCTCGTGGCTGTCAGGACTGACAGGCCCCAGCTCAGAGCTGAAAACAAAGGAGGACACTTCAACGATTCAGATCCTCCCAGAAGAGCCACGGGTGAGCATTAACATTACTGGTAAGTATAATAGTTTTCTCCTGGACACAAGAGCCTACTATTTGGTCCTAAAAGCCTTCTGAGGTCCCAACTCTTCTCACTATTTCCTAGTTGTTGGAATTGATGGAAAACCTCATAAGCAGTTCCTTACTTCACCTTTGTCTTGCACGTGGACTTCAGAGCTGTAAAACAACTCAGTGGTAGATGGAATTTGCTCCAGGACTTAAGAACAATAAATGACATAATTGAGCCTCTACATTTTGTGGTTCCTAACCTTTATACTATAATAGACAAAGTGCTAGTCAATAGGCCTTTTCTTGTAAGAACTACCTTCCCTCTGTAACTTGATTTGTGCCACTGTTAGAACCTCTACTTGGAATATTATTGCTTTTAATTTTTGACTCATGTACTTTTAACTTGTTAGTTAAATTTGTGTCTTCTAGGCTACAACAGTTCCATGATACATCTTCAAGGATATGAACATGTACGGCTAAGCACAATTGATAACAGTGCATCTAAATTCCAAAATCATTCTCCACAGTAGTCTATGTGTTTCCTATTGCCAAAGGGGCCCTTTAGAGTAGTGAGAGAAGATCTTCACCCTGAAACCTACAGTGTCCCTTTTCAGCAGGAAGTAGCTAAGAGAACACGCTATTCCCTTTTCCTTATGAATCAGGGTGAAGTCTCTTTCAGGGAGGAGTGATAGGGAATGGCAAAGGACACACTGACAAAGGAGATTAATCAGAACTGGTTTTGACAAGCACTGTGGCAATGGGACAATTAAAACAGACTTTCAAGGAATATTCAAGCTGAATCCTGATCATATGGAGATTTTTTAAAGTATTCTTTGAGTTTATTTTGTTTATTTGTTTGTGTATAAAGGATGCTCATCTAGATGATAACATAATTATGATAAAAACAAAAGGGGGGAAATATGGGAATATTTGCAATAAACTGAGTGCTATTTAAAAAAAAAAAAACCAACACAAAACCCTTACAAAACAAAACAACAACAAAAAAAAGAAATGTCTATCAGTGAAATTTCTGGGTACATTATAAACCTGTATTTAATGTTATAAAAAACTACCAAACTATCTTCTGTAATTATAAACTATGGCACATGTACACACATACACATGAACATTTAGATGGTGCTGTGTGAAGGCCACTGAGCTACTAAACCCAAAGTCCATATCTCTGTTGGTTCAAATCAAAGCAGCTCCATGGGAGAAAAATGGGCAGCCAGCTCCAGTGCAATTTACAGCCTCAGAAACCCAATGGTAGGTCAGCTAGGAGTCAGTTCCAACTGATGGCAATGAATGAGTTAGTAAAAGAAAAATAAAGAATTCACAAAACATAACATTAGTTAGATGGATTTGGAGGACATTAAATTGAATTTTAATATTTCAATAAGCCAGTCAAAAAAGGACAAAAGACTGTATTAGAGAAAGCCAAAGAAAGGTTAACATACAAAAAGCCATACTTTTTGATGTTTACCAGTGGCGGGAGAAGCAAGGTGTCAGAGGGGAGAGAAAAATCAGTACACAAGACACATTTTCCAAAATGACTCTACCATTATTATGCCAAGTGCAATGTATGAGAGCTCCAATTTTATCCATCAATTCTTGTCGAGAGGTGGTATTTTTAATTATACTCTAGTTGGTGACTGGGCTATACCATTGCAGTTTTAATTTATATTCTTTTAATGTTTAACCATGTTAAGCAGCATTTCACGTACGTATTTGCATCAATACATTTCCTGTGGTAAAATATCTTTTCAATTTGCTTTTTAAATACAAACTGATTTTTGTACCCACCCAGGAATGCCAAACCCCCCCCACCAAAACCCAACACTCAACCACCAACCGTTTATCTTACTGCTAATCTGTAAGAGTTCCTTAAATGTCTAGTATAAGTCTTATATCAGATACACGTATTTTGCAAATATTTTTTCTAATCTAGCTTATCATCATTTTTTTATAATGTCCTTTGAGGAATATGCTTTAAAAAATTTTGATAAAACGCAATTTATAAAGTGGTTTTTTTCTTTTTCTTTAATGTGGACAGGGTATTCTTTTCTAGAAAAACCAGATGACAAAAAGCGGTGTCCGACAGGAGGTGGCAGAATAGTGGAGGAGGGAATTGATTATAGTGGTGGAAATATTCCGTATTACAAATCACCTGTACCTTTAAAACCAACTGTATGCACACCCATGTTTACTGCTGCATTATTCACAAGATCAAAAATATGGAAGCAACTCAACTGTCCATCAATAAAACAATGGATAGAAAGATTTATGGTATATTGACACAATGGAATACTATATAGTATGGAAAAATAATGAACTAGGAAAATATTACACAACATGGGGATCCTTGAGGACATTAAGCTAAGTGATATATTTCAGTTGTTGTCATGTGCCCTTGAGTTGCCTGTGACTCATAGCGCACCCTATGTACAATAGCCCTAAATCTGGCTCTGTCTTGTGCCAATCTTACTTTCTCTGACACACCTAGCCCCGTTACCTCAGTCACTCAACAATCCATCTCATTGAGAGTCTTCCTCTTTTGCACTATTCCTCCACCCTCCAAAGCACGACATCCCTCTCCAAGGACTGGTCCCTCCTGACAACATGTCCAAAGTATGTCTGATGAAGCCTCAGAATCCTTGCCTCCAAGGAGCAGCCTGGTCTTACCCTCTTTAGGACAAACTTGTTTGTTCTCCTAACAGTTCATGGTATATTCAATACTCTTCACCAGCACCACAGCTCAAAGGCATCAATTCTCCTAGCCATTGCCCAGCTTTCTGATGTATAAGTAATTAAAGACTATGGCCTGAATCAGGTGTACCTTAGTCTCCAGACTGATACTGTTGTACTTTAGTACTTTGGAGAGATCTGACAAAAGACTTTCTCAGTGCCATTCGTCTTTTCATTTCCTGGCTGCTGGTTCCTGACTGTGGAGCCATGCAAACTAAAGCTGTTAACAATCTCAATCTCTTCACCATCTATCATGATGCTGCCAACTGGCAAGAATCTTTGTTTTCTTGATGCTGAGCTTCAATCCATATTTAGGGATGCAGTCCTTGACCTTCTGCACCAAGGACTTCAGGTCCTCCTCAGTTTCAGCAAGCAGGGTTGTGTCACTGGTGTAACACAGTGTTGATAAAGTCTACCTACAACCCTGATGCCACATTTTTCCTCATAGAGCCCAGCCTCCTGGATAATCTATTCTGCATAGAGATTGAAAAGGTATGGAGATAGGACACATCCTTGGCTAACACCCTTCCCAATTTTGAAACATGTAGTGTTTCCTTGCTCTGTTCTGACAACTGCCTCCTGGTCCAAGTATAGGTTTTGCATTAGCACAATAAAGGTTCTGGGATGCCTATTCTTCTGAGTTAGCCATAGTTTGTTGTGATCCACACAGTCAAATACCTTTGCATAGTCAATGAAACACAGATATGACTTTCCACTGGTACTCTATGCTTTCAGCCAAGGATTCATCTGACATTAGCTATAATATCCCTAGTGCCGCAGCTTCTTCTAAACCCAGCCTGCACTTCAGGTAGGTCTTTGTTGAAGTTCAAATAATTTGAATAGTTTCCAGCAGAATCGTGCTTGCATGAAGAATATCAGTGATATTCTTCGATAATTTCCGCCCTTTGTCAGGTCTCCTTTCTTTGGAATGGGAACAAATATAGATCTCTTCCAGTTAACTAACTGGAAGGAGGCCAGATGGTTGTCCTCCAGATTTCCTGGCACAATTTGGCGAGCACATCCAGGGCAGTGTCTGTTGAAATATGTTAACTGATATGCTATCCATTCCTTGGGCCTTGTTTTTTGCCAATTCTTTCAGAGCAGATTTAACTTCTTCCTTCATCACCATAGGGTCATTAATATCACAATAAAAAATTAATTTTTTTAAGAAAATGAGTAATGTGAAGGTACTTCTTTTCTTTTCATGTTGGCTCTTGTTCTAATCATGACTTTCATTTGTAAGAATGAATAAGAAGGAAATCAAAGTTAAACATGCGTTAGAAACACTGCACATCATGGAAATAGTTTTCAGGATACAGGATGACTGGCAATGGCACAGGTACATTAAAAAACAGTCTACCGATGTGTTACCTTGGTTGCATTGAAAAACAAGGAACTCATGCAATATTATTCAAAATGGGTGACCCTGGAGGACATGATGCTGAGTGAGGTATCTCAGTCACAAAGGGACAAATGCTATATGGTGCCACTGTTGTAGAATGAGGCTGACATCGGGGAAGGGGTAAGACTGAGAAAAACTGGATGAATTATGTTTACTGCACTGAAGTCTATGGGGGAAAGAATAGTTTAAAAGTATTATATTTTAGGGCATTATGTTTATCATAAGAGTATGGAATGAGGGTTGCAGAGAGGATTATATTTGGGGTTGGAGGTGGGGTTGGGGGATGTGTGGGGGGACTGTGTACCAATGAGGGAGTTTTTCTTTTGCTTTTCAAAGGAGCAAACGGGGGGGGGGGGGGGGGGGGGGGAGAAGGGTGCAACAATGAATGAATGGAATTCCAAAATCTCTGTAGATGTTCATCGAAATGAAAAATAAATAAATTAATGAATAACCCCCCCCACAAAAAAAAACAGTCTACCAGGAAAGCCTGATTGATCAGTAACCACCTGCAATTCAATCAGATGCATGAATGCATTTTAAAAATCCCATAGATGCTTCCTTTATAAGCAAAAACTGGAAAAATCAGTCACTACTGGTCATTCAGTGGTAGACTTCTACCTCTGATAAGGGTCAGTTCTTGGCCTATGTACCCAATGCACAAGGCAGTAGTCTGTATGTTGCTATAGTGGTGAATAGGTAGAATATCCAAACTAAGATGAACTAGAAAGTAAGGCCTCATGCTGTACTTCCAGAATCAGCCAATAAGAAGCCACAGATCATGACTACAGTCTGATCTGCGTCTGCTCAAGAGGTGGCACAGGATCAGGCAACATCTTGTTTTCTTGTTCATGATGTTACCAAGAGTTGAGTCTCTCTATGGCAGCTAACAAGCACCCTCCAAAACACAGACCCATTCATTACCAAACATGAGTCTAGTAAGTGCTAAGGCTCTTAGATCTGGCAGCTTAACCTGCATATGGATTGTAAGACACTCCAGAGATTTGCAATTTTAGCTCTAGGTGTGTGGCTGGTAAGAGCACAGTCCCAGAGTCAAACAACATGCATTAAATTCGAGGGGAGGACCCAAAGTGTGACTGAAAACTCACTGCTGTTTTATCAGAGCCAACTCAAAGCTGACCCTCTAATGAGTTTCCAAGGTTGTAAACCCCACATTGGGAGATTACTCACTTCTCTCCTTACGAGTCACTGGAGGAGTAAAACCACAAAAGGCTGGAGCTTTGGGTCAGCAGCTATGGAACACTCCACCAGAGCTACCAAAGTGTGCTGATAGTTAGAAGCATTCTTTCTATTATTAGGTAAGAATCCTTCCTGCTCTCTGCTCCTCTGTATACATCAAAAAGATGACTCATTTCAAACATTTAAAAATGCTCAAGATGTATCACCCTCTTCTCCTAAGAAAGTTCTGTTTACAGATACAACCAAGCAGGGAACAAGGAAATGGTTTTTATTTAAAACTCTGTAGATCAAAGAGTCTCTATCTTAAAGTTATTAAGACAAGGCATTTCAAGTGACAAACCAGATCAATTCCATGTTTTCAAAGCTTGTGACAAATAAGACCATTAAAATTCTCTACTGGAAAAGTCACTGATTACAGAAATGCCATCTGATAAAAGGCACCTACACTGTTCCTGTTATAAAAACAGCCTTCTAAATGCCATTTCTGAGGAACAATGGAATAAGACCCTTACCTCATTTCTGACCAGTGATCTGCTTACAGGCCACTGCCTACAATGACATAGTGAGACCTATAAGGTCTAGTGCACAGAGACAGAAATACCTCCTGCGGGGACCTGGGCCTCTTCATTACAGTGATGGCGTGTGTGGCCTCCTCTTGTAAAACTGCTCTGCTCTATTGTTGTTTGGTGCCATTGAGTCGCCTGCGAATCATAGCAACCCTACGTACAACAGCCCTAAATCCTGCTCTATCCTGTGCCAATCTGTCTCTGACACACCTACTCCTATTACCCCAGTCACTGAATCAGTTTACCTCATAAAGTGTCTTCTTCTCTTGTGCTGTCCCTCCACCCTCCCAAGAATGACGTCCCTCTCCAAGTACTGGTTCCTCCTTGCAACATGTCCAAAGTATGTCAAAGAGTCAGAACTCTTGCCTCCAAGGAGTAGCTTGGCTTAACCCTCTCCTGGACAAGCCTGTTTGTTCTCTTAGCAGTCCATGGTATATTCACTACTCCAACACCACAAATTGATGCTCAAACGCATCAATTCTCCTTCTATCATCCCTAGTCATTATTCAGCTTTCTGATGCTCTATTATTATTGTTAAGTGTCATTGAGTCGTAGATTCATAGTGACCCTATGAACAAAAGACTTGAACATTTGTATAACTTTCGTCATTTCTCCATGTTCATAGAGTTTCTGGAGGCAAGCCATTTCGGAAGTGGATGCCACTCCTGCTTCCAAGCTTTTTGGAATCTCCACCAAACACTGTCCACCATGGGTAACCATTATCGCATTTGGCACACCAGTGTCACAGTGTTTAGCGAATCAATTTTCCATCCTAATCCTCACCAGTACTAGCAAACAAGCCTCTGTAGAATCCAGCTCCTGCAGACGACTTCCAAATTCCAGCCCCATACTGCTGACCAAATGGGTTTTTAAATAGGAGACAGAATCACATCATTTCACACCCATTAGCGAATCAACATTCCAACCTAATCCTCTGAAATAAACCTTTATTGTCATTTTATAGCAGTTTGCTTTGTGTACCAGAAGAAAAACGTTTTTATTAATAGTACAAAACCCTCCCAACTCAAAATGAAATTAAACATGTGGCTGATACCAAGGTAAAGTATTAATAGTGCATATCTGAAAACATTTGAAAAAATATATTTCCCATCAGGGACCTTCACTTGAAGAGATGCGCATACGTTGTATTTTAAAAAGCAGTAACTATCAACATATCTGCACATTCTGTTTATATTTTATTATGAACATGATATATAAGAGCAATAAATTTACTCACTTGTCTTTTAGCTTCTCTCAGTTTTCTTTTGAGGGCTGTCAAAATTCTTTGTACTTCCCATAATCTTTCTTCTTTTGATAAATCCTTTATGCCACCTTGTAAATCTCGATGTAAACAATTCAAGAGAAACTCCTAGGAAATACCACCACATGTCAACAGTATTTCACACTGTATTATTTTTATATCATAGCCATATGACCTCTAAAGACATAGAATCAAATGATTTCCATTTATATTCAGGTGAGTGGTCATAATAACATGAATTACTTATCAAGGACATGACCAATAAAGACATGTTCTCACTGATCATGTTATCCTGGTTTAATGATAATTAATCCCTGAAACACATCACTAACCAGTGAAGACTGGGAACTCAAAGTAGATAAAAAGGAAGAAAAAGCAAGCAGGTGTTTAATCTGCTATAGAAAATGTGCTTGCAAAGAAAGATATACTAACAATAAGATCTAATAAAACTCCTTATTCAGGACTGAATCCCTATTTCAGTTTCACCAAACCAACACAGGACTAAATGGCATCATCTCCCCTATACAAGCAGCACCGGCAAAAGACACAAGATTTGGCTAAGGCTGGTGCTATAGCTTTGCAGTAAGCAGGTGGCATGTAGGATTTCTTTCTCTTCTTAAATCTCAGCATCCTTGTCAGTAAAAAATGCTGGTGATACCAGCCACCTTGTCCAGATTAGCTAACACTGTGGACAATTTACACGTACCTGGCAAGTTTCCCAGGTACAAGTTTCACTTAATCTTTAAATCAATCCTAGGAGAAACCAAAACTCACCAATCTGACTCAAAAGATCCTCTACTGTGTTTTCAAAGCTGTAAACCTTCACAGAAGGAAAATGCCAATCTTTCTCTCTCAGAAGAGCTGGTGGATTCAAACTCCAATCTTTTGGTTAGCATTCCAATAAATAACACACCATGCCACTAGAGCCCCTTCATACTATGAGAAGATTCATTTTAAAAAGAGAATACCAAAGCTCAAGGAAGTAATCTGCCTGAACACCAGTCAGTTATTTAGTTGTTTGGGAGCTGTGCAAGAATTTAAAGCCAGATCTTTCAAATCTAAAACCTGAGCTCTTTCACATGCTGTTCTGTCTTATTCAGTATGAAACGTGACAGATGGGACGGTCTGGCTTCAGTGCATCATGAGTCAGCCAGCACAGTGAAAAACACATGGAATATGATCAATAAACCAGCACTAACAGAATGACCACCAGCCACTAGACAGCCAGATCCAAGAGGCTCTTGAAGGCCTGGTCACACAGGGCAAGTGCTACACACCTGTCTTCGGATCTCCTCCTTGATGTTCTCCTGGGTGTCTGGCAGTGTGGGCATAGTGGCCATGTTAGACCATCGGAGAGGTTTTGTCACTGGCTTTAGTACCACATTTCCAAAGAACTCCTGAACGTGTGTGAAAAACATATAAAGGACACGATTGCTAATCTAAGAAAAGATTGAAAAAAGAAAAAAGGGGGGAAATGTGAGTTAAATTATCTTGAGTTTACACAAGAAAAGTCACCAAGTTACCTGTGACTCACAGCAGCCCTATGGGACAAGGCACAGATGCCCACATCTCTGTTATTGGGGAAGACTGCTTCATTAGTTCTTGTGCTTTGAATCAACAACCTCCTGGTTAGCAGTCAAATATTTTGACCACTAAACCACAAATTTAAAAAAAAAAAAAAAAGACTACAAATTAGTTTGTTTTTAATTTCATTTTTGGTTAAAATGTAGAAAGCAAAACCAGCATCCAATCCAATTTCTAGACAAACGTGATTAGTGATACTGGGTACAGTCTTTACTGTTTAACACTTATTACTTGTGATTTAGCTGTTGTCTTCTTTTCTCCTTCTTGCTGTTAGGTGCTGTTGAGTCAAGTATGACTACTAGCAATTCTACAAACAAAAGATGTGAACCCTATTCTATCCCGCGCCAGCCTCATACTTCCTGACACACAAGAGCCTACTGCAGCAGTTACCATGTCAGTCCACCTGATTGAGGGTCTTCCTTTCCTTTGCCGACCCTCAAACCTACCCAGCATCATGTTGTTCTCCAGAGAACAGGCCCTCCTAGCAACATGCCCAAAGTATGTGAAGCGAAGCTTTATCATTCTTTCCTCCAAAGAGCACTCTGCCTGCACCCTCTCCAAGACAAATCTGCCTGTTCTCTTGCCCGTCCAAGGGTTATTCAGTGCTCTTCTACACCACCACAGCTCAAAAGCGTCAATTCTTTTCCTGCCATCCTTATTCATTGTCCAGATCTCAGATGCACAGCAAGTAATCAGAAAGATTATGGCCTGAATCAGGGGCACCTCAGGCCTCAAACTGACACCATGCTCCTCAGTAATATGGAGAGGTCCCTAACTGAAGATTTTCCCAGTGCAATGTGTCTCCTTAATTCCTGACCGCTTGTACCAAGGGTGTTATTGCGGACCTAAGCAAGATGAAGCTGTTTCAATCTTCTCCCCATCAATCATGTCACTGCGTATTAGTTCAGTGGTAAGAATTCTTGTTTTCTTGACAATGAGATGCGATCCAAACCAAAGACCGCATTCCTTGATCATCTGCAATGAGTGCTTCAAGTTCTCACTTCCAGCAAGCAAGGTTGTGTTATCTGCAAGTGAATGGTTTAAGCAAACAAACTGTTTCTCTCACTGTTTGGGAAGCTAGCAGTCCAAAGTCGGGGTACCAGTGAAGGCTCTCTCTCTCAGTTCTGGTAGGAGGTACTGTTTCCTTCCACATCTTTAGGCCTTCCCTGCCCTGGGTCGAGGAGTTCCTAGCCCTGAATGCTGGTGTTCTGCTTCTGGCTGGTCTTCTTTACTAGTGGGAGGAAATGAAATCTCGCATCTGCTTGATTTTTCTTTTTATCTCATATGATTCAAGGTGTTACCTGCCACATCCCGGTAAACTCCCCTTCTATCAGGATCAGGTCTGTGTTCTAATTAAGAGTATTACACGCCACCTTGATCCCCACCTTGATGGGACTGAGAGATCCCATCTCAGCCACATCATCATGTGATCCTGTCACATGAATATCACTGCTGTTGTTTAGAGCCATCAAGTCACCTCTGACACATAGCATCGTTCTGTTCAACAGCATGGCAATCCTGTACCATCCTCCTACACTGTGTCACTCCATGTTACTCAGGGTTTTCCTCTCTTTCAATGACCATCTACTTTTCCAAACATGATGTCCTTACCAGAGACTGGTCCCATTCCGATAATATGTCCACAGCAAGTGAGATGAAGCCTTTTCTCATCCTGGTTTTAAGGAACAATCTGGCCGTACTTCTTCCAGGACAAATTAGTTTGTTCTTTTGGCAGTCCATGAATATTTAGTATTCTGTGTCAACACAGCCATCCAAAGGTATCAATTCTTCTTTGTTCTCATTTATTTACTGCCCAGCTTTCATATGTCAAAGAAGCAACTGAAAATGCCATGGTGTTGATTAGGTCCAACTTGGTCCAAAGCACTTTAAAGTTCTTGTTAAAAGATCAGCCCAATGGCGTATGTTGTTTGATTGCTAGACTGCTATTTCCATGGGTATTGATTTGTATCCAAGTTAAAGAAAATCCATGCCAACTTAAATCACCTGTTTATCAGGATGCTGCTTATTGATGCAGTTATTAGCATTTTTTTTCTTTTTGTTGAAGTATAATTCATACTAAAGTCTATAATCATGTTGTTGTTATGTGCCACTGAGTCAAAAGTGACTCATTAGTGGGTTTTCAGAGGCAGTAAATCACATGAAAGAGAATAGCATCCTTCTCCCATGGAGCAGCTACTGGATTTGAACTACGTGCCTTCGGGATTGCAGTGCAGCTTCTTATTAGGCCACCAGAGCTCTCTTTGTTTTTTGGGTTTTTTTAACAGTTTTGTAACTCTCTTTGATAATCAGCTATTAGTTTTCATCCACCCTAATGGTCTATAGATTTTTTTTAAAGTGGTTAAAGGTATACAAGAAGCAGTGTATACAGCTTGTTTAGGGAATCTTCACCCTAATTATATTTTCTGAACATGGATGTGATATGGGACATTCCTAATTCTTTTGGCCCATTAGGCTTTTTTAAGCCTGGTGTCAATGCAAACATCTGATGTTACCATCTCCTTCATGGGAAATTTTCAGATCTCCTAGAGGACCCAAGGGGTAAGCTTTTTAAATCCCATTCCATGGATGTGCTTGTGAATGTTGATGGTATACTCTCTGGTCACCGCTTCGCTGAAGGAAGAACAGCCTTTCTTCACACCACCCTTCTTTGTGGAGGCCACAGAACCGGGTCCATGCTGGAAAGGCCAAGACTCCCTTTGTAAACACAGATGTTAGAATTCATAATAGACAGTCTATTTACATTTAGGGAGCTAAATGCAATTTGTCTTTTAATTTCTTGACTATAGTTACCATGGGTGTTAACTGTGGATCCAAGTAAAATGAAGTCACTGACAACTTCCATTCTCTCTACATTTATTGCCTCACTACATTATGATACTGCCTATTGGACCAACAGTGATGACTTTCGTTTTCCTGAAGATGATACATAACCAGTGCCGAAGGCTGTAATCTTTGACCTCCTGCAATTAAGTGCTTTAAGTAGTCTTTATTTTGCGGGGGTGGGGGTGGGGGGGTGGGGGGAGAAAACTGTGTCACTGCCTGCATAACGCAGTTTGTTAATAAGTATTCCTCCAATCGTGATGCCACATTCTTCTTCATTTAGTCCAGCTTCTCAAATGGTCTGCACAGTGTACAGACTGAACAGGTATGGAGAAAGGCTACAACACTGACATGTATTTCTTCTGACTTTAAACAAGTACCTGGAGCCAGAAGCTCTCAGAGCAATCTTCTGTGAGTCTTGGTAAGATAATTTAAAAAAGAAATGTCATCAAAATTACTTTTTGGGTTGAACGACTTTCTTTTTTTTGGGGGGGGGGGTTGAATTACTTCAGAAGATAGTTTTAATCCAGTATTTAAGCAGCAATTCTAGGCTGTAATTTGCCTCAGTAGCTCCTGTAAGTCTGGATAATTTAAAGTACTTGAAGTTCTGGCCAAAATGTTTCTCCCTTTTCATCAGAACTTATCTACTGTGTACCTAATCAGAGTATTTAGTAGTGGTAGCCAGGCACCATCACTTCATATTCATACAACTGACACACAAGCTGAGCTTTTTTTGCAAATTCTACATCTCCCTCTCCTGTCAGTTTCCTCTGCATGCTACGTATGTATGCTATTTACTTGGGTACATTCATTACATATGAAAAATATAGTTGTTCTTTGGTCTCAAGGTAGAGGAAGCAGCAGTTCATGTAGACAACTAGTCTTGAAACCCAAATCTTTCGGCTTTCCTCTTTCTCTTTGTCACAGATGAATCCAGACTAAGAGTTCTGAGACTACTCACTACAACAGGAGATGGGACATAAACATTAAGAGTTGCATTATGTCAATGGAATTAATCTCATTAGGTGACTGGTTCTGTCTATTTACTATTAGTACATAAAGCTTCTCTACCTCTTCTTGGACATTGCTACTGTTAACAAAAATCAAACCAAGCAAACCCAAGGCTGTGGGGCTGACTCCAATGCATGGCAACCTCTGTTAGGTGCCCCAGGAGCCAGATCTATTTCCCTCCTAAATCAGACTGTCCTAAAGAGTGGGAATCTCCCAGGTGTTACTGTTCACCTTCCAGACCTGTTTATTGTTGGATGAAAGCTGAGTCACTGGAGTGAATTTTGTTCTAAGTATGAAGGGTGATCTAAGGTCATAGCCTCAGGATAAGGCTATAAATATTAACAGAAGATGTCAAATCCTTCCCCTCAAAAGTGGCTGATAGATTGGAACTGCCAACCTTTCAGTGAGCTGCCCAACACTTAACCCGCTGAGTCACCGGGGCTCCTTTACCACCAATTTTTTCACTACACATGGCTGCTTTTCTATCACTACAATAACTGATTTTAAAGTCTCTTGTTCTTTATTTTCAAGTGATTATGGAAACATGCTAACATGGGTGGAGGCCTAGAGCCCTCACCCAGGGGCCAGCTTCTCTGAGCACCGGCTGATCCAGTTCTTAACAAACAAGTTCTGTGCCAGGAGATCAAGGACTATGGCAGCTAAAAGCTAACAAATGAAACTATCCCCTGCCTGGAACTTATTCTAACAACACACTCAAACCTTTGATGATAGTATCATCCTATTATACTAATATTAAACAACATCATACTTACCAAATTCTGAAATCTTGACAAACATGAATGATCAAACTGAAAGTCTGAAATATTCTACTTTAATACAGAAATCAGTGAACAATGAAAAGATCTTTAATAAAAGCTACTAATTTATAATGATCTAGTAAGGTAGAACCAAAAAAAAGAGGGCTTAAAATGAAAAATATAATCAAAGTCTTACTTTTTGGTTTTCACTGGAGTAAAAGGTCAGTAATGCTTACTGAAGGAAAATCTACCATGCAGCAACAAATGAAGATCAAGTACATAGCTATAGAAAGATAAACTTATCAAATTCCCTGAAGTATCTTCTCAGTTGAAGATACTATAAAATGCTTCTCTAAGATTCATCTTTACTAATAAAGATGGTTAAATCTTTGACTGAACTAATTCAGGACAGATTTGTCTCGTGCTATATGTGATACATGATGTATGTTTGTGTTATGATTAAGCAATAATGCTATTTAGTAAATTAGTTGGAATCATTTAAACTCTGGACAGGAAGTCTGTAACTGCAGGTACCCTTTCTTGGCTCTTTTCCTATACTCATGACAGCTTACTATCATCATACTTTTGAAATCACACTAATGTTTATACAATAGTCAAATGATTTAACTGCAAACCTAAGGGCAAATTATCTTATATATTAATACCATCCATGCTATTAAAGAAAAAAAGACCTAAAAAGATCTAAACTCAACATCAAATCCTTTGTCATTAACTCTATGCCAATTCATAAGTCATCCTACAGGACAGAAGAGTTAACAGCTTTATATGATACCTAGCCACCAATTCCCAAAACTAACAGCGAGGGTGGGGGTGGCAGTGGGGGGTGCGCAGGAAAGATCACATACCTGTACTGTAGGGCTGAGCACTATGGAAATGTTCTGTATGTTCATCTTTGTCTCCAGTTCCTTGGAGATAACATGGTCCATGTGCACAATCAGCCAGGAAATGAGAAGATAATTACATTCTGGCAATTCCATCAGCAAGCGTTGGAATTCCTGTACTTTCTCACTCTCGGCACCCCTCCCACACGCTTCTTCAAATCGGGGCATCAGCTCTTTGGTAAGCACATTCTCTGGAAGATCTCGCAAATACTGCTTCAGCAAACTGGCTACTGTGTTAGGCTCATATTCATCCAAGTTCGGAGATTCTTCTCGGTCGTAGGCAGCCTTTAGCTCATCCACCTTTGATTTAATTCCTTAAAACATTAAAATCGCAAAGAGAAAGACAACTTAAAAAAACTAATCAAACATGAGCTTTCACTACTACACTCATCCCTTCTGGTGAGGTCTGAGAATAGGATTCTAGTTGTAAGCTACTTATCCACACAAGGTTGAGATGGTTCATCTGTAAACAATATGATGCAAAAAACTACATTTCAAGAATGACTCTACCCCAAATTCAAATAATTGAAAAACACTACTCAGAACAAAGTGCAACCACAGATACGCTAAGCAAACACACTAATGTTATTTTGGCACGGTTTCTTCAAAGTAGACAACACCTTCTGTACTGTTATTTCTTTAAGGTGACACCTCTCTATACAGTTACAACAGATGTTTACAAGAGAGTAAAAACAGTTTTTGAGATCAAGTCTTTTTAATAAGGCATTTCGTGTTCTTCCAGGTCACTGCAATCACTGAAATGCTGTTAAAAGCACGTGTGCACCTTAAACATGGGTCTGAGGTCTGGGAATACTTTAGAAACGTCATTAGAAATGTCATCTACTTTCCCCTTGGACAGAAGAGAAGCCTAACTACACACTAACTTCCTCATTCTACTTCAAACGAGCTGATCTTTGCTTAAATAACAACTGAAGAATTTTCTTCAACTAATGTCTTAAAAAGACTTTCTAAAGAGACTGCCATCTTTCTCAAACCAAAGTCTTTATTAAACTCCTCTTGATTGTTAGGCTTCTCTCAAGAAGCAATATAGTTTACACCTAAATAAATCCTGTGCTAAAATGTTTTAACTTGACTCTAGAATGTGTCATTTAACAGATGTATCACTTATTTAAATTATCTTTCTTATTATTTGGAATTTATACAGGAAAAGAAAAACTTCCATCAGAAAACAAGGGAATTCTGGTGGCCAAGTGGTAAGAAGTTATGCTGCAATTCCTAAGGCAAGCAGTTTGAACCTATCAGCTGCTCTATGTGAGAAGGATGGATAATCTCCTCCCGTGTGATTCACTGCCTCTGCATAGCCTAGCTTTAGTGGGACAGGGTCAGGAGAGGACAGGCGGGGCCTGGCCACGTCAGAGATAACCCAGAGTCTGCCATGGCAAAGGATGTCACCAATTTTAGGAGAGGTGTAGGTAGACTTTGACTCTTGGGCCAGCTAGTGGAGGTGATATACAAGAATCAGGTATTAAGCAAGACATCTAAAACAAGAGGCCAGAACCTAACACAATAATTCTGAATTCACAGAAGAGCAAAAGGAGGTATTTCTGGCTGTCAGCTGTGATTACAGAGAGAGCTTCTGCCTCTTCCTTGAGCTTGGAGAAAAATCCACCAATCGCTCTGTATTATCTTATGAATATAAGAAAACCATAGGCAAAACTGTAACATGCCTGGAATTATAAAGTGCAGCTTTCCAGTCCACATTTTCCCAAAAGAATAGAAACTGAAGTATCTAGAAAAGCTAGGACCATTTCTGACAAAAATTCTTACATATAATAAAGCATTCCCATTCAATGTTTGGCCTGTCTCCCTACGAAAAATCTTATCAACTGGTGGAGAGTATGAGAAAGCTAAAGAAAATGAAAGGAGTACTGGGACAAAGTCTCCTGATTCTTTTCCTGCTTCAGTTCCAGGACTCTGCTGGAATGGCTCCCAATCAGAACAGAGGCAAATGATCTGAAAGATGCTGGGCCGGGCAACAAGTACATTGGTCCCCACATCAGTCAGTGCAAAGAATTGATTGCACAAAAATCACTCCTGTGCAAGATAGTCCTGTGGCTTCAGGAAAAGAAGATATATGTGTCCATTCCAAAGTGGACACTGAGCTGCAGAAGCATGCTAAAAAAGTAATTAATAGCGTAGCTATCTTCTTCGAGTCTAAACATGACAAGCTTAAAAAAAGTTCAGCATAGCAATGAAAGAGTTTTTCTTTTACTCATCAAGAAGAAAAGTGACTGAGGGGAAGGGGTGGTCAGGGAGAAAAGTGCAACAATGAATGACTAGAAACCCTAAGTCTCTGTAAACTTTCATTAAAATTAATTTAAAAAAAGTCTGTCAGCATCAAGTGCAATGCTTTCAAGAAGATAAAAAAACCTTAACACACTGCTGTCGAGTTGGGGCTGAGTCACAGCTTAGTCTCCACTGAGTTTCTGAGACTGACTGTCTCTCAGGGAGAAAAAAAAGCAGGTGGATTCAAACAGTTCATGTTGCATGAACAGCGCAACTCCCAATGGAGATGGAGGAAGTGAAAGCCAGGCCCACTGTAACCGTAGCATTCAGGAAACTCTGACTTTAAAGAAACTGACGTGATCGACCAAGAGGTCACTTCATCTTCATCTGTATATCACATTTGTATCACTTCATCTAGATCAATATCCTATCTATATCACTTCATCTATATCAACATAACATCTACATCACTTCACCTTTATCAATATCATATCTACATCACTTCATTTTCATCTATATCAATTTCACTTCCTCTTTATCCCTTTCCACAAGGAATGAGCCTGCCACAAATACCCTGGGATTCCCCCGAGTTTACTCCTCATAGAATCACGGAAAGTCAGTGCAGCAAATGCATGCCTTCCACAGGCTACAAGTCAGCTATATCCAGGACACCAGGCCCAAGAAGTTCATTCACTGCATAGCTGCACCACAGAATCTGAAATTGTGCACATCGCTAGTATTTACAATGCCTTTGGATATGAGCTTATTAAAGACTCTGAAACATCTACATTTTACTTTTCAATTAACTGTGCAATTAACAACAGTCTATTTTCTAGCTCAGTCCTCTTCCTACTCTGCTTTCCAGAATATAAAGTTAGGACACGCTCGTTTTCAGAAAAAAATACAGCAATAAGAATATGTTGGAGTTCACAAGGAAGCTCTGGTAGCTAAGTGCTTAGGAGCTACACTACCAACCCAAGGGCACTAGGTTTGAATCTACCAGTAGCTCTGAGGGAGAAAGATGAGCATTCTCCTGTGCGATATACTGCCTCTGAAAACCTGCTGGACGGTCAGCTACAAGTCAGCACTGACCCAACGGCACATATAAAAACAACAAGTTACACATCTGGTCATCTGCAGCAACATACTCATTAGTTTGGCACTAACCTCAAACTCTGGGTGGCTGTGCTTAGGATAGTATGAAACTACTGGTATGAAAATAGGTATATAGTTTTATGTTCCCTATCACACTGCTATTATTCCTGATAATGAATGACTCGTCTCAAAGATGGAATAACCTCATAATAATTACGCATACTTACAAGTGTTCAGTTATGTAAGGAAGTTAGTTGATGGATCTTCTTTCGTATAACTGAGAACTAACTAAATCAATGGCTAGTAAGGTACTGCAGGAAAAGCTATTGTTTTTCTGATAAGTGACTGTAAAAACTTAAAAACTTACATGCCAGTGCCACCCAAAGGTAATAAAGGAGGTCAGAATTGCTTCCACTGTGGAAAGCTGGGCCACTTCAGTAGACAGTATCACAGACGAGAGCCATAGATAGGCAAGGGAGTAGAGAGGAAGCTCCCACTCACTTGCTTTAAGTGTGGATCTGAAGGACACTTGGCCAAGGGTGGCCTACATCAGGTCCTCATGGCTGACAGGACTGACAAGCCCCAGCTCCCAGCTGAAAACAAAGGAGGGTGCTTCAATGACTTAGATCCTCCCAGAAGAGCTATGGGTGAGCATTAACATTACTGGTAAGTATATTCGTTTTCTCCTGGACACAAGAGCCCATTATTTGGTACTAAAAGCCTTCTGAGGTCCCAACTCTTCTCACTATTTCCGAGTTGTTGGAATTGACGGAAAACCTCATAAGTAATTCCTTACTTCACCTCTGCCTTGCACGCGGACGTCCGAGCTATAAAACAACTCAGCGGTAGATGGAATTTGCTCCAGGACTTAAGAACAATAAATGACATAGTTGAGCCTCTACATCTTTTTTTTTTTTTAGAAAACATAATTTTATTGTCAAGTGGTAGCTATTTGTAGTTTAAAAAACAGTTGTTGGAGTGGGGCAGGTAAACTTTCCTAGTTGGCTTTGAGGTTTTAACACAAGTGGTAATAAAAGAAGGCCTTTAAAAATAAAATTTACAATTTAAGAGACAATGAGCCTCTACATCTTGTGGTTCCTAACCTTTACACTATAATAGACAAAGTGCTAGTCAATAGGCCTTTTCTTATAAGAACTACCTCTGTAACTTGATTTGTGCCACTATTAGAACCTCTACTTGGAATATTATTGCTTTTTAAGTTTTGACTCATGTACTTTTAACTTGTTAGTTAAATTTGTGTCTTCTAGGCTACAACAGTTCCATGATACATCTTCAAGGATATGAACATGTACGGCTAAGCACAAGTGATAACAGTGCATCTAAATTCCAAAATCAATCTCTATAATAGTCTATGTGTTTCCTACTGCCAAAGGGGCCCTTTAGAGTAGTGAGAGAAGATCTTCACCCTGAAACCTACAGTGTCCCTTTTCAGCAGGAAGTAGCTAAGAGAATACGCTGTCCCCTTTTCCTTATGAATCAGGATGAAGTCTCTCTCAGGGAGGAGTGACAGGGAATGGCAAAGGACACACTGACAAAGGAGATTAATCAGAACTGGCTTTGACAAGCACTGTGGAAACTGGACAATTAAAAACAGACTTTCAAGGAGGGGAAAAAAAGAGGAACGGGGGGGGGGGGGAAGGTAGAGAAAATAGTGCAACAATGAATGAATGGAAACCCAAAATCTCTGTAAATGTTCATTAAAATGAGTAAAATTTAATTTAAAAAAAAACAAAAAAACTTACATGCCTCTTCTTAGGGTGGTATGCACATCTGGAAATAAAGCCTCCCCCCCCCATATATGCCATTTATTCTCTAGTTAAATATACTGGTATTCATTTATATGAAAACATATAGGCCTTTAGCTTATCATAATCTGAATATCTTCCTTTGACTTAATAATAGGACATAAATTGTTGTGTTGCTGTTATATGCTTTAGAGTAAACTACAACTAATATTGACCCTTGAACTACAGCTCTGAACCCTGCCCTATCCTGAGCCAACTTCACCATCTCTGACACACTTGCCCCACTGCCACAGTCACTGTGTCAATCCTTCTCATCAAGGGTCTCCCTCTCCTGTGTTGATCCTCTACCCTTCCAAGCATGACATCCTTCTCTAAGGACCGGCCCCTCAAATGTACTTAGTATATGTAAGGTAGATATTTACACAGAAAGACTTGCAGTTTGCTTTCTATGGATTAGATGTAGACTCTACACATTTTAATATTCAATAGTTTAAATGAAGGGAGCTCTGGTGGCATGAAGTAGGGTGTTGCGCTGCTCATCAAAAGGCTGTGACTTCAGTGTTTAAGCCACCAGCTATTTCTTAAATAAAGTGAAAGATGGCCAATCTTGTCTCTTCATTCAGTGCCCCTGCAATCCAATGGAGGGAAGCTATGAGTAGAAACCAATTCCACAGCAGTGAGCAAGTTTAAATGAATAATAAGGGGAAATATAGTGTCAGTATTTGCCCATTTTTTGAACGAATATAATCCTAGCCATACTGCTTAACATATTTGCTTTTTTAAACTAAGTAACCACTAGCTCCAGTATTTACTTTGGTTGTCAGGTCTCTTTACTAGAAACCTCTCTCCCCATCTCTGCAGGTGGGTTCTAGAGGCTGTAAACCATAGGGAAATGACTGCTCATCTGTCACAGGTGGATGCACAAACAAGCCATGGGCTTGGCAGCACACCTCCTTACTCACTAGGGCCCTCAAACTCTCTCCCTCTTTATTAGATATATAAAAAATTATGTAAGTCTGAAAGCGTTTCCAAACAAGGTTAGTGCTGTTCGCTGGTTTGACTGGATTAATTAAAATTCTAAAATGATTTCCTATAGTTCTAGGGAATAACAAAAGATTTGCCTTAGATTACTTTCTTGTTCACTGAAGTTGTCAGATCCCTAGACCAGAAGGTCCTGGAAGGGTATGAACTGAATTTTCTCTGTGCTGTGGACGTTGTCTACTGTACTTGATAGTACCCCTTGCAGAGTACTCAGTATCTTTTGTTTGAAGTTCCTGACAAGATCGAAAACAGAATCCCTTAAAAAATGTACTATTTCTTTCCTAAAGAAACCATAACTGCTACCCAAGCAGATATATGCACACCCATGTTTATTGCGGCTTTGTTCACAAAAGCAAAGAACTGGAAACAACCCAAATGCCCATCAACAAATGAATAGATAGAGAAGCTCTGGTATATTCATACAATGGAATACTATGCAGCACTGAAAAACAAGAAACTCATGAAATATTATGTAAAATGAATGACCCTGGAGGACATTATGCTGAATGAAATATCTCAGTTACAAAAGGACAAATATTGCATAGGGCCACTGCTGTAAAACAGGACATCAGGGTTGAGAGAAGACAGAAAAGAAGGGGAGGAATGAAGTATACTGCACTGAAACAGATGAGGGAGAGAACTGTTTAAAAGGGACATATGAATGGGTATTACTGTCATTACAGAAGTCCAAAGTGAAGGCTGCATAGTGGACTAGATATAGGGGGGCAGGATTACATAACAATGAAAGAGTTTTTCTTTCTTTTCAAGGAGAAGAGTGAACTGGGGGAAGGGGATAAGTAGGGAGAAAAGTGCAACAGTGAATGACTGGAAATCCTAAATCTCTGTAAACTTTCATCAAAATTAATTTTAAAAAAAGAAAAAATATTTTAAAAAATCTACTTTTTTAAACGGCGATGGCATTAAACAACAACTTTTTTTTAAAAAAAATGTTATTAAAATGTCACAAAACTGGAGGGGGGAAAACACACCCCAAAGAGCAGTATTAGCACTCAGAAAAGTACTAACCATATTAAATGCAGCCCACAGGTACATGAAAAAGGGAGAAGGAAAAAAGGTGCTTTAAGAGTGATAGAAGCTTTGGTCTAGGAACAACACTAGAAGTCCTAATCCACAACATAAACAGTCTTCCCAGTATCGTGGAAAACCTACAACCAGCAGAAGATAACATAGATGAATGGGATCTTCTAAGACTCAAATCCCTATGCACATCCAAAAACTTCTCCAGTAGGGTAAAAAGGGAAGCCACTGACTGGGAAAAAGTATTCGGTAATAACATCAGATAAGGGACTTATATCCAGAATTTATGAAATACTTGAGCACCACAACAAGATAAAGGTAAAGAATCGAATAGAAAAATGGGCACAGGATATGAACAGGCACTTCACCGAAGACGACATTCAGATGGCTAACAAGCACATGAAGAAATACTCAAAATCCCTAGCCCTAAGAGAGATGCAAATTAAAACAACTATGAGATATCATTTCACCCCAGTCAAAATAGCAAAATTTAACAGAACAGCAAGCAACAAATGCTGGCGAGGTTGTGGAGAAACTGGAACCCTGATTCACTGTTGGTGGGAGTGTAAAATGGTGCAACCCCTGTGGAAAGCAGTATGGTGCTTTCTCAAAAAGTTGCAAATAGAGATACCATTTGACCCAGCAATTCCACTACTGGGAATATACCCTGAAGAGACCATAGCTGACATCCAAGCAGATATATGCACACCCATGTTTATTGCAGCTTTGTTCACAATAGCAAGGAGTTGGAAACAACCTAAGTGCCCATCAACAAACGAATGGCTAGAGAAGCTGTGGTATATTCGCACAATGGAATACTATGCTGCATTAAAAAACAAGGAACTCATGCAATATTATTCAAAATGGTTGACTCTGGAGAACATTATGCTGAGTGTAATATCCCAGTCACAAAAGGACAAATATTACATGATGCCACTGTTGTAGAATGGGACTGTCCTTGGGGTTGGGGAGAGACTGAGTAAGATGGGTTCAATAATGTATACTGCACTGAAACAGAGGAGGGAGAAAACTGTTTAAAAGAGATATATGACTAGGTACTTCTGTCATCACAGGAGCCTAGAGCAATGGCTACATGGTGGAGGGGACCTGGGGGAGGGTTTGTAAAACAATGAAAGAATCCTTTCTTTTACTTTTCCATAATTTTTGACTCATGTACTTATAACTTGTTAGTCAAATTTGTGTCTTCTAGGTTGCAACACCCCCATGATACATCTTCAAGGATATGAACATGTATGGCCAAGCACAATCAATAAGAGTGCATCTAAATTCCAAAATCAATCTCCATAATAGTCTATGTGTTTCCTACTGCCAAAGGGGCCCTTTAGAGTAGTGAAAGAAGATCTTCACCCTGAAACCCACAGCGTCCCTTTTCAGCAGGAAGTAGCTAAGAGAATACACCATCCCCTTTTCCTTATGAATCAGGGTGAAGTCTCTCTCAGGGAGGAGTGATAGGGAATGGCAAAGGACACACCGACAAAGGAGATTAATCAGAACTGACTTTGACAAGCACTGAGGCAATTGGACAATTAAAACAGACATTCGGATGGTGGGGAAGAAGAACAAACTGGGGAGGAGGGTGGAGAGAATGGTGCAGCAATGAAGGAGTGAAAGTCCAGAATCCCTGTGAATGTTCATTGAAACTAATAAAATTTAATAATAATAGGTAAAAATAAAAGAGTGATGGAAGCTTTGGAGAAAAGTGCAACAAGGAATGAATGGAAATCCAAAATCTCTGTAAATGTTCATTGAAATTAATTTTTTAAAAAAGTGTGATGGAAGCCTTAAAAATAAAAATAAAAAGAGTGATGGAAGCTTTGGAGAAAAGTGCAACAAGGAATGAATGGAAATCCAAAATCTCTGTAAATGTTCATTGAAATTAATTTTTTAAAAAAGTGTGATGGAAGCCTTAAAAATAAAAATAAAAAGAGTGATGGAAGCTTTATTGCGGCTTTGTTCACAATAGCAAAAAGGTGGAAACAACCTAAGTGCCCATCAACAAACAAATGGATAGAGAAGATGTGGTATATTCACTCAATGGAATACTATGCTGCATTGAAAAACAAGGAACTCATGAAATCTTATACAAAACGGGTGACCCCAGAGGACATTATACTGAGTGAAATATCTCAGTTACAAAAGGACAAATATTGCATAGTGCCACTGTTGTAAATCGGAACTGACATCAGGGTTGGGGGGAGACTGAGAAAGAAGGGATAAATTATGAATACTGCATGGAAACTGATGAGTGAGAGAACTGTTTAAAAGGGATCTACGATTAGGTATTTTCATGACAGGAGTCCTGAATGAAGGCTGCATAGTCGAGTGGACTTAGGGGGGATGGATTGTATAACAATGAAAGAATTTTTCTTTTACTTTTCAAAAAGAAGAGCTAACTGGGGGGAGGAGGCTGGAAAGGGAGAAAAGTGCAACAATGAATGAATGGAAATCCAAAGTCTCTGTAAACTTTCTTTAAAATCAATAGAAAAGAAAAAAGGGAACTGCTGAAACACACAAACAGAAGAGAAGGTATTTTTTTTTCCTAATCAGAAAGATCAAGCTAAAGGAATAATGCTTACTAAGACTCAAACCACAATTACTAAATTATTACAGTACCATTAATTTTTTAAACACTCCCAGGTAAGTGTATGCACCAGTACCTGAAACGCGGTAAATGCCTTCGCACCTCATGCCATGCTTCTCGACATAATCTAAACACTCTCGGAAAACTGCAGGCAGACAAATGCCATCATGCATCATGGTTCTCTCTGCTGCATCAGCCAAGGGAATCCCAAAGATGGGCCTGTGACTCGGAACATCAGCTTGAGGCACCTCTGGCTCTGGCTTTTTCTTTTTCTTCTTTTCCTTCCATTGTTTAACAACATCCGCTGCGGTCAAGTCTTTTGACTTCTTCTCTTTATGCTTTTCTTCTTTGTGCTTTTCTTCTTTATGTTTTTCTTCTTTGGGCTTCTCTTTGATTTTAAAATCCTTCTCTTTCTTTTTAGAAAAGCTGGGCTTCTTGAAAACATGGATTCCCTTGGACCTCTTCATTTTGGAAGGACTTTCAGCTTCATCTCCAGAGCTGTCTTCCTGAAAGGCAGCATAACCTTCAGCTGTCAAAGACATGTAGGGAGTGGAAATTACATGTTTGCTGACTGTCAAAGTGTCCATCTGCTTGCTAAAACACCACTACAAAGAAGTGACCTGCCCCACCTACCCCACCCGGGCTACCACCCAGCTTTTCCCTTCACATGGGATCCATTCCGGGTGCTCCCAGAAATGTCTTCACAGCTAAAACAAGATGTTGATGGGACAGCTCTGAATCAAAGGAGGGAAACATCGGCTAGGTATCATCTTTACAACCGGAGGGGATGAAACTTGGGTTTGTTTTCTATAAATATAAAGGAAATTTTATCAAAACAAGTATTAAAAATACTTAAAAGGGCTCTACATAAAAGACCAGTGGTGTGAATCCCTTCATGAAACAGATTTCCTTTTATCACTGAGTGAATAATGTTTTCTGACATACTGAATTACCTTAGACTGTCCTCTAAAAAACTAGCTAAAACTAGCTCAGGTTTTTCCATATTTGGGGTGTACAACTCAAGTCAGTCTCCAGCTACAACCATGCAAACTGTCTAGATGCTCCAGTCTGGCCACACTCTGTAACTAGCTGTTAACTGAGACTGCAGCAGAGATGGAAGCATCAGTGGGTGGAGGGCAGAACAAGAAATGCCCCAAGCTTTTATGTGGCCAAATCTATGAGGCTCTTCCCTGCACCAGAAATCCTGGCTTCCATACAATGAGCCCATGACTAGATTCCTTATCTCATTTTAGCATCACAGTTCAGTTTTACTGTTTTTAACATATATCATTCTGCTTGTCAGCTGCTTTACAAGCTATTTTAAAATAGGTTAGGGAAATGTGTTATTTTCTAATTAAAATACCATAAACCTACAGTATTCAGATAGGAAAAATTCTCAGGTCCTTAATTGCAGATGTAAAATAATTAAAACTCTCATTCATTGGTGGTAAGGTAAACTGACACCCTAGACAATTCTGGAAATCTACTTCTCAGGATCTACTAAAACCGAATTCCACGTGTCCATTTCAGGTATACACAAACCAGAATTGTGTCAAAAGACACACAGAAGAACAAACAGTATTCCTAAGAGTAAAAGAACTGAAGACAATTCAAAGCAGAATGAATAGATACTTCTAGTATATTAATGCAATGCATTAATACCCGGTGATGAAAACAAACAAATTACTACCAGGTGGAATAACATAAATAAATCTAACAAATAATACAAAAAAGAAACCAAACACAAAAACAAATATGCTTCTATTTACATGAAGTTTAAAATGATGCCGTACAAATCAAGACATGTTACACTGGGAAAATCTGTGTTAAGGAACCCCCTCAATACGCTAAAAAGCAATGATGTCAATTTAAAAACTAGGGGGACCTGATCCAAGCCATAGCATTTTTAAATGCTTCCTATGTATCTGAAAGTTGGAAAAAGAATAACAGAAGAATTGATGGCTTTGAATTGTGGTGTTGGAGAACAGTGGTGAAAATCTCAGATCATCAAAAGAATAAACAAGTCTGTTTTAGAGGAAGTGCAACCAGGGTGCCCCTTACAGGCAAGGATAGTGAATACTGGTCTCATATACTTTGTTCATGTTGTCAAGAAGGAGACATAATATATTAGGAAAAGACATTATACTAGAAAAGGTGAAGGGTCAGAAAAAGAGAGGACTGACATAGTGACTGTAACAAGGGGCTCTAGCATTTCAGACTGAGATGACAGTCCAGCTTGGGGCATGGTTCAATCTGTTGTTCAGAGGATTACTAGAAGTTGCAGTCAACCTGAGGGCACCTAATAACAACAGCAGTCTACTCTGAAAGAGGTTTCTCTCTAGGGATAGAGCAATTAGTCTTTGGCAGGGAAGTAAAAAGAATGTCTAGGACACTGGCGGGAGCTCTGGTGGCCTAGTAGTAAGAAACTGAGCTGCAATCCCAAAGGCACAAGGCTCAATTCCACTACCTGTTCAATGGGAAAAGGATGAGCAACCTCCTTCTGTGTTGATTTGCTGCCTCTTGAAAACCTGCCAGAGGGTCAGCTATGAGTCAATTTCTGACTCGACAGTACACAACAATCAAGATTATCTTTTAAGAAAAGCAAAGCTCTATTAATTTGCTCTTTATGTATTAGATAATTTAGTTTTATTTTAATATTAATAATAATGTATACAACAACAACATTGCACTCAGAGGGAGCTCTGATGGCCTAGTGCTAAGAATTTACACAGCAATCCCAGAGGTGAGTGGTTCAAACTGGCCAAGGTAGTCTCCTTCCATGGGATTTAATGTCTCTAAAAACTCATGGAGTTTTGAAAACTCATATCTAGAGAGTCAACAATGGAGACCAAAAAACAACAGCAGGGCATTGATAACATTCTGTTTCCTGATCCTATTACTGGTCACACATATGTCATTATGGAATCTTAATCTCTGCCTACACTTAAAATTTATGCACTCTGTAAATTATGTTCCAAAACCAAACCAACTTTAAAGTTCTATAAAAACTCAATTTATTTTTTTTTTAAAAACCAAACCAAAAAAACACACCACTGAACTTAAAATAACTGGTCTAATTTGTTTAAACATATCAAAGTTTTGCTGAAACAACTCCTCTTCCATATTAACTTGGAACTATCAAAAGAATGATTACATTTGCTTAAGACAAAGCTCTTAGGCAAAAGCCATTCAAATGACCTATACAACACACCCAAGAACACTTACTGTACTAGGGATATTGTAGCTAATGTTAGATGGATCTTAGCTGAAAGCAGGGAGTACCAGAGGAATGTCTATCTGTGTTTCACTGACTAGAGGCGTTTGACTGTGTGGATCATAACAAACTGTGGCTGACTCTGAGAAGAATGGGAATACCAGAACACTTGATCATGCTAATGAGAAACCTATACTTGGACCAAGAGGCAGTCATCAGAACAGAGCAAGGGAACACTGCATGGTTCAAAATTGGGAAGGGCGTACGCCAGGGTTG